ATAGGGCTGGCGCGCGGGGATCGGGGCCGCGCCAGCCCGGGACGCCTGGCTTTGCCCGTTCCGCTCCGCTCCTCTCCGCTCCGCTCGCCAATCTCCTCCTGAGCGCCAGGCATGGCCCCAAGTACCGTGGCGGTAGAGATGCTCAGTCCCAAGGAGAAAAACAGAGTAAGTGCCACTCGCCCGGCGCGCAGCGTCTGGTTCCCCCGGGGCCTCGGGTCTCAGCCGCTCACCTGACGCCTCTCCTCCCGCAGCTGCGGAAGCCGGTGGTGGAGAAGATGCGTCGGGACCGCATCAACAGCAGCATAGAGCAGCTGAAGCTGCTGCTGGAGCAGGAGTTCGCGCGGCACCAGCCCAACTCCAAGTTGGAGAAGGCCGACATCCTGGAGATGGCTGTCAGCTACCTGAAGCACAGCAAAGGTGAGCCACGCATCTGCGCCCGCCTCCCGCTCCCCGCCGGTGTTGCTTCCACCGCGCGCGCCCCACTCATGTCGCCCCGTCTCCCTGCAGCCTTCGCCGCGGCTGCCGGCCCCAAGAGCCTGCACCAGGACTACAGCGAGGGCTACTCGTGGTGTCTGCAAGAGGCCGTGCAGTTCCTGACCCTGCATGCCGCCAGCGACACGCAGATGAAGCTGCTGTACCACTTCCAGCGGCCCCCTGCCCCCACCGCACCTACCAAGGAGCCCCCGGCGCCGGGCACTGCGCCCCACCCCACGCGCTCCCCGGCTAAGGCCGCTGCCGCCGTCGCCACCTCTCGACAACCCGCCTGTGGCCTCTGGCGACCCTGGTGACCCCCGCGGCCAACGGATGCCTGGAGCGAACCAGAGGACTGACGAGCCGGTTCCTCTCGTACCTCTCCGTGTAGGGAAGGCCTTCCCCAGCCGCAGTTCAGCCCCAGGTTGACCGCAACCTTCTTTCGAAGGCTCCCTCCCCAAGGCTGGCTGGCCAGCAGGAGGGTCATTCTTAGAGAATGTGTGTGCAGAGTTGTCATTTGGGGATAATCAGGGTCCACCCTCTGCCATGTGTCCGACCCTATGGGGTTGTTTTGTGTTTGCATTTCAGCAAGTGACTTCTGGGAAGTTCCCGGTCACCGGGGGTTCTATGATATTTGTAGAGTGAGGGGTTGGTTTACCGGTGCCCCAGCCTGTAGAGGACTTTCTTCAGGGCCCCTTGCTGCTGGGCAAGCACCCTGCAGGTGGGCTGTGCCCTGGGCACACTTGCCTTTTGTGAAGGCGGAACTGCAGGCTTTTCCTCATAGGAAAGCACTTAGCCTGCGTGGGCACAGGGCCCATGGGACCTCACCTGAGGGTCCATGTGGCCTTGGCTGTCTGGGAGGGTGGGGTCTCCACGATGATCCTTAAAGGATTCCTCTGTGTGGGTGGGTGTATGTGGGCACGATTTTGTATTTAGAATTTGAACTCTTGGTCACGTGGGAGACCACAGACTGCTCTGAAGGCGTCTAATAAAACATCAAGCTCGCTATATCTGTGCCTCTTGTCTGTCCTTGGCAGCCATAGGGGTGGCCTGCCCCAAACAGGGGTCAGAAGGGGGCGGGGGTTGCTGGTGGTCGACTAACAGAGAGAAAGGGAAGGCAAGAGGCAGGAAGAGAAAGAGAGAGGGGCAGGCAGAGCTGCTGGTGCTCACTGTGAACAAGACCTTGGTGGGCCGCCATCAACTTTTACTAGCTCCCAGGGGAGGGTGGGGGAAAAGGCACCCTAATAACCATAGGTCCTTTGCTCTGTCCACTGAGATAGAAACTGAGGGCCACAGTGGATCTCGATGTAGCAAAAAGAGGCTTGGCTGCATCAAACCCGAGAAAGTGTCTGTCCCAGTTCCTGCTTCCTTTAGTACAGCTGTTTAATTCATAAATTTCCTCCCATGAGATGACTGACTAGGATCAGGGCTGACCCATTCCATTCAGGCCATGAACCTGGTTCATTGCCTCAGACAGGGTACTTACTTTGAGGCAGGCTACACAACATCGGCCAAATTCATAGCTTCCAGCTGCCCCAAAGTAAAAAATCTGTGGCGCAGGAAGCGGGAAGGAGCTGGATGTGTCCACGTGTCTTCTGAATGACAAGTCACAGATGTGGGTCCTGCCCATCTTTCCCACTCAGCAGTCATCCCTTTCTGTCTACTCGGCTGGTGGCCCCCTGATGTCCCTGCTGAGCCCCTAGATGTAGTGAGCAATGATAGAAAATCTCCATCTCCTCCCATTTTGCTTACCACAGAATCAGCAGCACATCTATGAACAGGGAGGAGACCACTTCCTTGTCGGTGTCCTTCTAAATGCAGGGTAGGCATACTAAACTGACAGGGACTGAGTTGCTGGGCCATCTTGCTCTTGGAAGGAGCTCTGCCACCCTGCAGGGGGCTCTCCATTCAGAGCATGCCCATCCTGTTGGCAGGCACATACAGAACACGGCTGCCTCCTCCCTGAATCAGATAAATGGCAGCTGTGCATCACCTCAACCCTGCCAGTGAGTGACAGCCTGCTGACAGAACCTGAGAGCAAGATACTAAGTTATGTGGCGAGCTTCTTGGAGGGCACAATGCTGTCAAGGGACTAAAGTCGGCAGGAACTACAGATCACCTTCACTCTGGAACTCTGCCATTTCCAGGGATCCTTACCTCCTTTTGCCTATACTTTCTGCAGATTGCCAGTAAAGCGCCCATCTTTCCCAGTTGCAAACTCATGACCCTCCGTTCCCTACCCCAAATCACTTTCCCCATGGTTGGGCACTCCTGAGTGTAGGGTCCTTAAGCTACTCCAGTTTACACGTGAGTTTGAAGGTCCCACGTCTGTGGGAAGTCAGTCAACCTCACAGCAGGAGGGCGCCAGACTCGGGTGGTCTGGTAGCAGGATCGGCGGGCTCGGCACAAGTTAGCACCCAGACAGCTCAGCGACGGAACAATATTCCAGAAGCTTTGTATTAGTAGCCTGAAGAATAACAGCACTCCCTTCCGTAATCCTGGCCTTTAGGACACTTGTCTGGGACCGTCGAGAGGCACAGTCTCCTGTATAGGCAGAGGGGAGGGGCGGGACTACATTAGCATAATTTATGCACGCGGTCGTTTAGCAGTCAATTATATGCGCATATATCTCCATGGCTGATGAGGCTGGCCAGGCACTTTCAAAATGGCGGAGCGTGGAGCAAGTGGCGGCGGGAGCGGCGGGGACAGTCTGGACAAGAGCATCACGCTGCCCCCCGACGAGATCTTCCGCAACCTGGAGAACGCCAAGCGCTTCGCCATTGATATAGGTAGCCACGGTCCGGGTACTCGAGCGGGCGGCCAGAACAGTGGGCATAGGCGGCCAGCGGGGGCGGCGGGAAGGACGAAGGGCGGAGGCGCGGGCCATGCGCACAGCCTCACGGGTCGCCGCACAGCCTCTTGGGACTTGTAGTGTGTGCAGCGCCAAGGTGCGGGATTGAGCCGGCTGCGGGACTTCAGCTCCCGGTAGGCGCTGCGCGATTGGAGCGGGGCATGTCGGGCTTCGTAGTCCGCGCGGCGCCGGCCGATTGTGAGGGCTCCACGGAGGGACGGGCGGGGTGGGTAGCCTCGGAGGTCCTAGTCGACTCATCCCCTGGGGTTTGGCTGCGCACCTCCTCGCGGCACAGTCCGCCGGACCTCCCACTTCCCAGACAGCGATCGAGACTTGGGGTCCGGACACTCGTGCACTGGGTGTAAAGCTCCCAGCGTGTTCCGTGGGTTTGGTCGCCTGCACTACCTCCTACGTGCGCCTCCTCCTGCATGCCTGGTGGTTGACCTCACTGCCAACCAGCTACCGGCCGGCCTTAGACCCTTTTCCTTGTTGGGGCTACCTCATACCTCCCAACAAGGAGATTCTGTCATCCTTGTGTGCAGATGTGGAGACCAAGCTCGGGAATCAGTCGATTCGTAGATAGCAGAGCCAGGATGGGTGCCGGCCAACCCCCAACCGCTCTGCTGTGCATCCTGTTTCTGGGGAGTTTTGCCCGTGTGCCTCTTGATGCCAGCGTGGTCAATGAGGCCCACACAGCAGGGCAGCATCTGCTGTCTTGGACTTAACTCCGTGAATGAGAATGGATGTGCTGCTGGCTCCTAGCCTCCTTGAAAAGTCTGGATCGTTAAACGACTTCATGATTCTCGTTACTTCTGGAATATTGAATGTGTTCTCTACCCTCATGCTTTTGGGTTGTCTCTCTGAGGTGTCCTTTCTTGGAATGGGGAGTGGATGTGAAAGCAAAGATGGCCTGAGCTCCCACTTTTATCAAGGGCTCAGGAGGGTTGGTGATGGGGAAGTAGGCAGTAGAAAAGATTCGAGTAACCCGAGATAACTTGGTTACTGACTAACTGGATATTGGGCTGAAAGTGGTGATCTTACAGGCCCAGCAGAAGGGACTGTCTACAGCCAGACCTCTCAAAAACTCCCAAGGCAGCTGTCCCCAGGCTTTTGAAACCTTCTCTCCAGGGCTGGGTTTTGTGCTTTGTCCTGTGGTCTTACACTTGTTTGTTGGGAAGAAAAATTTAGTAAATATGTCTGAAAAGCAGTTGGAGTTGATTACAAACATCATTTGTCAGTTGAGAAAATAGGGTTCACCTTGGATAATGTATGTGGCTCCCCGAGACCATCCAACCAGAAGCCACAAAGCATGCGCTATAGTGAAGGACTGCCTCCAAACTGAAGGTCCTGAGGTCAGACACAGACTCCTTTGACAGAAGGACACTGCAGGGGTGTGTTCAGTGTTGGTTTTTGTCTCCTCTCTTTGAAAGCTCCCACTAGCTTGGGTCTTGGATCGGAGCTTACAAGAAGGACTTGCTTACTGTTCCTGAGGACAAACTTATTTATTTATTTATTTTCCTGTAGCTGATGGGACATCACAACTCAGGAACTCAGGATGGGGTCAGTAACTCAGGCACCTACAAAGCAACATGCTTGCTGGCAGTGTTGTTTACAAATAGCCTTCTCCTGTTTCCTCTTTCTGTGTCTCTGGATCGAGGAAGCCTCAGCTGATCTGTGTTCTTGGCGAGCTCTTTTCCTTTCTTGGATGGGGACATTCATGTCAACTAGGTTGATTCAGTCCTGGAAACACAGGCAGTAGGAAAGGTCCCCGATGGGCACACAGGCAGGGAGAGGCTCCAGAGAGTAAATGCTGGGCTACCTGCCCTTCCTTGGTTCTGTGGTGTGCATGTGAAAGTCAGAGGACAGCTTGGTGGAATTCGGTTCTCTCCATCTACCTTGTGGGTCCTGGGATCAAATTCAAGTCATCACTTGACTGCAAGCACTTCTATCTGATCGTCTCACCAGCCTCGCTATAATTCCTGGTGAGTTGCTTAAAGTGCTTTTCCATCTGTTTGCAGTCTTGTCTTTTCAGAAACAGTGCATCCTCAGTGGTGAATGGGACAGGCGTAGAGAAGCTGACAAGCCTGAGGGCAAGAAAGAGGGATCAGGAGGCTTAGGACTATGGCCAGGGATGAGATTAAGCTCATGATACACTCACTAAACCAAACTAGCAGGGCTGCATTATGGTCATTCTTGGTTGCGCGGGACAGGCTGCCTTGTTTTAGTTTCACCAAGGGGGCGTTCTGGCCCCGAAGCACTCTGGTCCTACATGTCTATAAATTTGAGTATCTGCTCCCTTGTAGTCCATTAAGTATTTTCTCATAAAAACAAACACTTGGAAATAACTCAGCCATTTCACTCTGCTGCTGAAGAACCTTTGCCTTGCTTCTGCCCGGCCTGTGAGAGGCGCAGCTGCAATGGGGTGCTGAGGTTCCTGTTTTCCCCACGTGTCCGTGTCCTTTCAAGGTCTGGGAATCTGCAGCTACAAACTGGAAAGTGCCTTTTCTGCCTGCAGGGGCTTGTCCTTGGCATTGCCTTCTCTGGACCTTTGGGCAGCTTTCCCTGGGGTGTGTGGCTCAATGGAGAGCACAGGGGCTGGCTGTGGGCAGTGTTCCATGGGTGACAGGCTCTGTGACAATGCCAGGAGCCTGCCTGGCTCCGGGTGTGCTGATAGATGCATGCCTGGAATTCCATCACTTGGGAGGTAGAGGCACGTGGATCTGTAGCCTGGGCAACCAGCTCAGGCTACAGAGTGAGTTCCAGGCCAGCCAAGGCTACATAGTGAGGCCCTGTCTCAAAAAACAATAGGACTGGCCAGGAGGTGGTGGCACACTGGCCAGGAGGTGGTGACACACTCCTTCGAATCCCAACACTCAGGAGGCAGAAGCAGGAGGATTTCTGTGAGTTAGAGACCAGTTTGGTCTACAGTGTGAGTTCTGGGGCAGTCAGGGCTACACAGAGAGAAACCCTGTCTCAAAAAAACAAAACAAAACAACAACAACAAAAAAAAACCCACAATAGAACTGAAGAAAAAGAAAGATAAACACTAAAGAACACTGACTGTTCTTTCAGAGGATCCAGATTGAATTCCCAGCACCTATATGGTGGCTAACAACCATCTGTAACTAACTCCACTTCCTAGGGGATCTGATGCCGG